CAAAGTATAATAAAACAATGAATTCAACAGAAAAGATCCCCAAACAGACAAATAAGTAAAGAAATAAAATAACTTCAGATTTTGATTAGCACTAGAAAGAAAATACATAGAAAGTAATGGAAAAAAGAATGGCAGGGGAGCTTACATAAGGTGTTCAAGAAAGGTCTCCCTAAGAGAATACTTGAGCTGGAAACTGAAGAATGAGCGCCAGATGAGATTTCCAGACAGAGAGAACACCCAGAGCAAAGAACCTGGGATCAGAAGAATCAGCTTATTCTAGGACTGAAAGAAGCCTCATGTAACTGCAGAAGAAAGAAGAGGGAGAGACAAACCGGGAAAGGGGTTGTTGAGGGGTGGCAGGGGGAGAAGTTGGTAGAAATAGGCAGAGGACAGATCATTCAGGGGCCTCTGCACCATAAAATGGAGCTTGGATTTTATGCTAGTTTGTGGAAGTTACTAAATCTTTTTATGCAAAGAAATAATATAGTCTGGTTTACATTATTAAAAAGTCAGTATGGGGCCAAGCCTGTGGCGCACTCGGAAGAGTGCGGCGCTGGGAGCACAGCAGCGCTCCCGCCGCGGGTTCGGATCCTATATAGGGANCTAATATTTATTATATGTCATATATTGTCAAGGTGCTTCTACCTTGTCCATTTATTATCTCATTCAATTCTCTTTCAATACTCTTCATAAGAATGCTTTGGGGAAGGAATTATCATTTCCACTTGACACTTGAGGAAACTAAGAGACAAGAAATAATTGGCTTGTAGAATTTCCTACAACTATGTGATGTAAATGCTGGAATTCAAATTCTGGGCTCCCACCTTCAAATCCAGTGCTACTTCTAGTATACCACAACTGCCTACCACTTACCAGCAATGGAAAGTATAGGTACTCTCAAGGGTTTTCAAGAAAGAGTTTATACAATGCAATAGATGGCTACATAGCATCAACTGGTTGCCAGGCACTTTACAAATATTGTCTATTTAACCCTCAAAGCACCCTATGTAGTCAGTACTTTTATTCTCTTCACTTTCCAGAAGAAGAAACCAAAACATAAAGAGGTTAATAACTTATCTAACATCTACAGCTAGAAAGTGCTAGAGGCAGGATTCGAACACAGGTGGTCCAGCTCTGGAAGCCATGCTCCTCCATGGGGCATCCTCTCCAGGCCAGAGAGGCAGAGGGTTATGCTGACAGGGAATTTGTCTGGACTGGCTGCTGACATTAGTTAACTAATGAAGATGCCAAGACTTCCAGTCCACTGTAGTTTCTGGGACCCAGCTTTAGGGAAAAAGACATCAGTCAAAAAATATCCAGATTGGTATTGGTTCATAATTGTAGCAAATGTATTACAACTCATGTATTTTTCAAAGTTTCTATGATGAACTTATTTTATAATTAGAAAAATATATTTGAAAAAAAAAGGGAGGGCCAACCTATTTAGTTTTTCAGTTTTACAGCAATTTATTAAATTCCTATTATGTGGCACAAAGTATAATAAAACAATGAATTCAACAGAAAAGATCCCCAAACAGACAAATAAGTAAAG